GCTAAAAACGCCTTACGACACCATGTCGTTTTTTTCGGTTAAAAACCTCTTACTACACTATGTCGTTTTTTTCGGTTAAAAACGCCTTACTGTACATGGTCGTTTTTTTCAGCTAAAAACGCCCTCCTATACTTGGTCGTTTTTTCGGTAAAAAACGCCTTAGTATACATGGTCATTTTTTTCGGCTAAAAACGCCTTCCTATACATGGTCGTTTTTTTGGTAAAAAACGCCTAACTACATGGTCGTTTTTTCGATAAAAAAACGCCTTACTATACGATGTCGTTTTTTTCGTGCCAAAAACGCCTGACTATACGATGTCGTTTTTTTCGTGCCAAAAACGCCTTACTGTACATGGTCGTTTTTTTCAGCTAAAAACGCCCTACTTGGTCGTTTTTTCGATAAAAAAACGCCTTACTATACGATGTCGTTTTTTTCGGCTAAAAACGCCTTCCTATACATGGTCGTTTTTTTGGTAAAAAACGCCTAACTACATGGTCGTTTTTTCGATAAAAGACGCCTTAGTAGACATTGTCGTTTTTTTTCGGCTAAAAACGCCTTAGTATACATGGTTGTTTTTTCAGCTCAAAACGCCTTAGTGTACATGGTCGTTTTTTTTGGGCTAAAAAAGCCTTACTATACATGGTCGTTTTTTTCAGCTAAAAACGCCCTACTATACTTGGTCGTTTTTTCGGTAAAAAACGCCTTACTATACATGGTCGACTTTTTTGGGGCTAAAAAAAAACCTTACTATACATGGTCGTCTTTTTTTGGGGCTAAAAACGCCTTACTGTACATGGTCGTTTTTTGGGGGGCTAAAAACGCCTTACTGTACATGATCGTTTTTTTCAGTTAAAAACACGTCCTATAAATGGTCATTTTTTCGATAAAAAAACGCCTTTGTATAGATGGCTATTTTAGCCGACAAAAAATGACCATGTATCGTCTGGCGCTTTGTGAATTTTTCCCGGTGTGAGTGCGACGTGGATGACCACGCATGTTTGTGAGAACACACAGAGTCAGAATTGAACCCTGCACCTCCGCAGCGCAACGCCAACGAATTAACCATTCGACTACGAGGCGGGTAATGAACACTCTACATTTTCCCTAGGTGTGAGTGTGAGCGTGAAAAGTTGCGCGGAGACGAGAAACAGAAGATGGACGGCCCCGCAGGTTTCCAAAAACCTGCGGGGCCAGAGCTAGAATCGAACCCTGCACCGCTGCTCTGTGACGCAGACGCACTAACCATTCAACTACCAGGTGGGTAATGAAAATTCTACATTTTCATTTTGTGTGAGTGTGAGCGCCAAGAGTTGAACAGAAAATGGATGGCCACACATGGGGTACGGCCATTGCAATGGAAAGGCCGGAGCCGGAATTGAACCATCCACCTCTGCACTGTGACGCAGACACACTAACCATTTGACTACCAGGCAGGTCATCAACACACTACATTTTCCCTCCATAAGACCATTAAAAAAAAAAAAACTCAGGCTTTTTTTTTTGTAAAGTACTTGTTAAGTATAGCAAGGCATTTTTCACAAAAAAAAAAAAAAAAAAGATTTTTACAGCCAAAAAGGACAACCATGTATCGTCAGGCGTTTTTCACAACCAAAAAAGACGAGCATACATATTGAGGCGTTTTTTTGTTCATTGAAAGACAGAATTGTGTTCAATTGCAGTTCCAGAGCGACGTTCCGCTTTGGTGTCGAAAGGTTTTCAGTTATGCTGAAAGGAAAACAGATGAGATTCATTCTTAATTTGGGCGAGTGAAATGGCCCGCTTTCGGCCAGTTTCAACTGACACGCCATCGGATGACGAAAACTTTCATTCATTTGAAAAAACTCCATTGACAACATCTCCTCCAAATGAACACGGGTGGGCAGCAATTGTTTGGATCGGAGCATGTCAAAAGTCAGCCTTGTTTCTTCATGCAGTCCATACATTCCGAGTTTTTTTTTTTTTAATACATGCTACCGATTGGACCACGTTCTCAAGAGACAGGAAATAGCGCAGGGGGAGTTGTGGCGTAGTATACTCAAATGGTTCTTTTTGCGACCTCCAGTTAGTTTGCCGCACAGGAAGGCTGAAACATCCAAACTTGTGCCAAAGAAGCCGACGTAAGGCGTGTCAAACGTGTTGTGCCAAAGAAGCAGACGTAAGGCGTGTCAAACGTGGCCTGACAGATCACTTCGACTCAGTCGGGTGTGTTCAGGCCTTTCCCGTCCGTCTCCGAGTTCCTTCCTCTTTGATAGGAAACGCCTCTTGTTGGATTGGGGGCGGGGCACAGGTACTGCCACTACGGGCATTTTTGCCTTTTTAGGAAACCGACTTCATGTCAGATTGTTGGAGATAAAATGACCTGTGCCTGTTTGGAGTATAAGACAGGAAGCGGACAGGGACAGAGGAAACGTGACCCCATGTGAACTTCGGGTTGTTTGTGGGAGTGGTTGTGAAATCACACACGATGCCGATAATGGGTCACTTGTTTTTTTTTTTTGTTTTGTTTTTTTTTTTAAATGGAGTTGATGAGTCCAGCCGTGACTTTGTAACGAGGATGAAGAACAGCTCGTCGGCGAACGAGACAAATGGAGGTGCCGCGCATTCTTTTGAGATGAAGCGGTCTGAAAATTTCCAATGACAACGATCGCGAGCGCAACTGTCATCGGTATCCCGGCAAAAGAAAATCGGAAACGGCGGCAAGCCAAAAGAATTTTCAGGCGGGACCGCCAAAACATTTGGGGCACCCGCCGCTTTCTCCGTCTGGGTCTACAACGTCCTCTTTGCGCTTTGTGAAAATAGCGAAAGGTGAAGGCGCCGTCGAAGCGCAGCTCAAGTTCATGGCCGTTTCTCAACACGCGGACGGCGGCGGCGGCGCTCTTGGCGAGACTTGCAACGGCCGCAACCCGATTCGCTTCGCCGCCCGCCGTCGGAATCGTCTCGGGATATTATCCGAGTCGAGCCTGCGCCGGGATCCAACCGATGGCGCCTCGGTTTCAAGCGAGCCGACGAGAGCGCTAATCTGCCCCGCGCCTTACGTTCAACGGTCCTTTCGACAGGCATGGCGCTCGGGCGGTGACCGAGTACGTTTGGCGAAGGAAATCACGGCACTCATCAGAAATGGTGGTCGGATGGTTCTGGGCAAAAGCATTTGCGACAATCGCAGTCGGATGAAATCCTCGGTCCCGGCTCGGAAAAATGACAGTCTCGTGCGTGAGGGTCAAAGGTCAGCGCGCGAGCCGAGGCGCTGCGGACGGACGGGGCTCTTTGAGAGGAATGAGGCGGATATTGACAGTGGGCTTTCATTGAGGGGAAAGGCCCAGATTTGCGGTCCCCCATAAAGCGCCTTCGCCCCTTCCTGCCAATAAAAATTCAAGGCCGCGCAGCGACCGCCGAGCGGCGGCTCCCGTGAGCCCTCCATTCATTTCTTTTTTCCTTGACCTCAGTGGGAGCGGAGGTGGAAAGAAACTTTCAAGAGGGCAATGGAAGAGTCTCAAGCGGTGCTTCGAGAAGGCTACTTGCGACACTTCCGTTTCACCGCGTCCTAATTGCAGTTACAAATAAAGAAATAAATTCAAACTCTAAATGAATCGAGAAAAAGAAACAGGAGATGGTCAGCAACAGGCCAACTTCTATTCGCGTTCAAGACTCCGTGCGAACTCGGTGACTTCCCGGACCCGTGACGACCTGCGTCCGGTCTTCACGTCGTGGGCAACTCATCGGCCGCTGCTGGCATTGAGTGAAATTAAACAGAATTAACCCGGCAGGCAAGTCAACAGGAAACTCATTGACCTAAAAAGAGAAAAACGGCCCTCAAGTTGAGTCAACTCCAGGTGAGGCGTTTCATCTTCCCACATTTGTCACGATTCTGCTTTGTAAGATTTGCCAGTGCAGTCGATGGCCCGCCGAGGCCACGAGCGGTCTCGCGCCAGCGCTCTGCTCAACAGTCGGCGTGCCGCTTTGAAGACGCACCGCGAGTCCTGAGCACCTATCGGCTCTTCGCAACACCAGCCGCCCTTCAGTGAGCCTGAAAAAGAAAACTCTCGCGAGAAGCAGTCTGCCAAGAGGAAAAGTCCATCAAGAGCATTTTTTTTTTTTTTTTTTAGATCGTGTGGTTCCAAAAACACAGCAATCCAACGGGGTCAATTGGGACTTTCAGAAGCGGGCTGTTACGCCGTCAATCAAGACTCATTTAGAAGCGAGTGAGAAAAGATTGCAGCTTCGACAGCGGCCATCGGACGCGCGGCCGCTTGAACGGGCCTCCGGTTTGGACGCGAGCGCCCGGTAGCGCGTGAAGGCAGAGTCCCGCGGGACTTGAAAGGGGAACGCCGTCTTTGCCTCCGACGTCCTGATCTTGTCTCACTCCTCCCTGCGCATTTATCTTTCTTCCTGTCTTTCATCACCGAGGCTATTAAACCCTGCGAGGGAGCTCTGCCTCGTCTAATTACGCTTGACGGTAAACAAAAGGAGCTCGGGCGGGGACGGAGCCGGGAGAATGAGGAAGGGGGAGAGGGGGAGGTGAGAGAGAGCCATGACAAAAAGAAAAAAAAAACAAAACACAGCCGGCTGAGCGGCGTGTCATTAGCATTCTTGAAGCCGCGCCATTAGCGCGGCCGGTCTTTGAGCCGCGCGGCTAATGAGTAGCTCGGCCTAATTACAGGCCACCCGCGCCCCGCCGCGATGGGATCCTCCGACGCCGGATGTTTGTTAACTTTCCCCA